GTGGTGGCCGTTTTTGAGTTGAGATGTTGCCATTCTCCATCATTAAATCGACTCCCAGCTCCGTAGTGTTAAAAGATACTCGTGGATCAACAAAATCCGGAAGTTTTGTCGATGTGTTGGTTTGGGTTTCGGCTACTTTGGGTGCCTGTATTTCTGGTTTAGTGCCAGGTGAATTGGTTTTATCAGCTGGGACAGACAGCTGGACGACAGACTTTGTTGACTAAACCTCAGGACGTCTTTTTTGCCTAATCTTATTTCTCCTGCTGGTATTTTTAGGGGCAGGATTCTGAGAAGTGTCATTTTGGTTTCTCTCTTGGAGTCACCTTTTGAACAGGAGCTTGCAGCCTGGTGGCGGGTAACAATTTTGGATCTAGCTGAAGTTGTGTATACTTTGGTAAACATACTAGTATCCAACTTGGGAAAAGTACTTTTTAAAGCCTACAGAATCCTGAGCTTCGCAGCGGTAACCCCAAGGAAGTGATCGTGTTTGTCCATTACCCTTGCGGCATTGTGAAACAATATTATGAAGACCAACTATTTTTCAAAACTGTACACATTTTCCTCTGTATCCTCTATAGTGATTTCACTTTTACGGATTAAACACGATTGGTTAAATAGTAACATTCATTATTATAACTAATTGTACTGGTGAATTTTTTATCGAACCTTTTTGTTTATTTGTAATTCAGTGACACACTTTTCTACTCGCGAGGTATCTATCTCGCTGATACTGTTCTGTAACTTCGCCTTTATCTCTGGCACATTTCGGTATTCTTTTAATATTAAGAAATTGACAGTAAATACGCTTACTTAGTCTGGACTATCCAGTCTCCGTTTTTCACATAAAAGTTTTGGGATAACGTTGGGATCCGAACTAAACTGGTTTGAAGACGTGTTCATAGTCTTCGACTCAACCATCCACACTTCCATCGGCATGCACACAGACCTGGTGGCGTTAAAAGGCATCAACCATATTCCCTTGTAATTTATTTGAAAAAAGATCGCCTAAATATCCGGAATTCCATGAAATAATTCACAAAGATGTCTCAGGTTCTCCATTGTACGATGTATTTTCCCCAGAAAAACGTTTTCCGAAGATGTGGCTGGTTTTAGTATCCCTTATAAAAAAGATTTCATTGACAAAAGCTTCGTCATGAGCTGAATATCTGTGAAACTTTGAGGCTAAGTCGCTACTATGTTAGGCGATAGGACACTCAATGTCGGTCCACAGAAAACACATGAAGTCAATGAGATACAAAGCGTCAAAATTTTCGGCGCGTCATAACTTAGCCTCACAGTACCCACATACTGAAAATGTTGTTCTGCTAATTGGGCTTTATTCGTTTCTCAGAAGTTGAAATAAAAGACTATTCCTGACATCCATGATAGGTCAAGTTATTGTAGACGTTGATAGGAAATCGGTGTACAATTAATTTCTTACAGTATACTGAGTATCTGTACATAATTTTACTCTTGTTTCATAAACTAAACACCATTATACCACACAAAAAAAGTCGGAGTTCATTCTAACAAATGAAATAACACAAATAGTATCAATCGATTATTATTAAACACTTCTTATTTAACTGAATCTGACAGTTGTTACGAACCAGCAGGAAATACAGCTCATTTTAAAACAAAGCACATGGTATAGTTTACAGAATTGGTATTGATGAACGATCCGAGTTTAGCACAAGGATTTGATATATTCCAATGTAGACAAGCGTGTACGTCACAATATGGGATATTTTATTTTATTCATTCATAGCTATGCAAGCAGATTTTTTATATGTTCAGTTACTACTTGATGGTTGCTTCCCTTCCGATTTCGCGCATGTCCGGACTAATGCATGTAAGTTATTGGTCTTTTTGGTTCATCAATATCGACTGACAGGCAGCCACCATGGCCCCTGACGCTGTCAAGATAAGTTGCAGACTAATTTCTCCTAAACCAGATGATCCCTATTACATCCCATCTTATATTTGATCATTTTAGAAACAATTTTGGGGTAAGTTGTGTGCGACTGCTGCCGTGCTGACAGTTTGGCTATAGTTGATGACATAGCGATTCTTTCCCCTTTTTTCGTAGTGTTGTTCAAACCGACTGGAATCCTGCCTTTTCTTAATGAATACAGTCACGCTTCCAGAACTTGAAAAAGTGCGTCTGATAACGAGTAGCTGATGATAATTTTGTTATCGATCACTATAGTCATAAATATTACCTTTTTAACTAAGTGTAAGTAATCTATCCGATTTAGGATGATATGCTTGTGTCAGAAGAAGCGCCCATATGCCTCATAAATAAATCATGTCTTCCATCACCTTATTAACCTGATGTCAGTGGGAACTGATAGTTTGAATTTTGTGGCCAATAAGTGATTCAAAACTGGTTGGTTTAGTTTTTTTGGTGATAATGTATTTTTGATTTTACACGGTTATTCAGAACCTTTTCTAGCTCGGCCACTTTGTTTCGAAATTCAGCCGCACAAGAACTCACGTGTTTGAAATAACCGGAACGCTTATTCCTAATTCCGAATCGTTTCATTTGGAAAACTACAATATGTGATATTTCTTCTAATGTTGACGGTATTAAAATATAGGGTGTGGTTGGGTCTTTCTGCATCAGTTATCAGTACATCGTTTACCGAATACTCGGCTAATTTTACCGCTCATTTAAGTTTGGAAACAGAAAGGGAGAAATGTTATCTCAGAAAGAAAGTTATTAGAAAATGGGTTGTATTTTACAATTTCATGTCATATTCATTGCGATTTGATTGAATATATTCTCATCCTTACTGAACAGAACATGGTTCCCTGAACCGCATCATCACTGATGAAAACATCCTCACACCGATTATCCAGCGCAAGTGATCGTGCCGTCACAACCTTCAACGTTGTAAGCTAAACTTATTGAGAGCATCCTACTAGCGACAGGCATTCGACAATAATCTGGGGTAGGTTGGTTGAGTATTTGTAACTTCACTTGAAAGGGATGCCAACCAAAATTTTGACAGCGTAGGGTGTTGTTTGTGTGGTTTTTACACTTAGAATGTGCTGCGCATCACGGGAGGTCGAAGGACTGAACATTCAGGTTGAAGACCAGTAATATTTTTTTCAGTGCGTTCAAAAGTTATGTGACTCTTGAAGTACGGGGGTCGCAGCATGCGCTAATATTTAAAGTTCTCTTGGCTTCTACCAGTTTTTGTGAGATCTTACATGAGCACACCTTCTTCTTGCGGCTGGTAGATAACTTCTGAATATAGCTTCAGTCTGGGTTGGTCAAAGCCACTTTCCAGTAGTTCATTAGGAGGACACTTCTTGTACTCTTCGTAAATGTGAAGTCTCCTGTCAGCATCTGGGTTGTTATGCTCTGACAGAATCAAGATAGGGAAAACGATAAAAGACGACCCTGATAGTTTCGAACTTCCAGGCAACCTACAGGAATCGTCTGAATGGTCTAGAGTTCGGCAGTCAATACTTTCCAAGACTCAAAAATACTTCATAGTACCATGTGCTAGCTACGGAAGGTGGTAATACCCTTCGGTCAATACATAGGACCATTAGAAAAACCAATGATAAAACGTTTTTAACTTTGTATGGAGATTATTCGTTCCTGCTTTTAGAACTGCATACAAGCAACCAGGCTCCGCCTGAGAAGAAACAGTGCGCTGTTTTAAACATCCGAAAGGCAGCAACATATCTGATTCCCGAAATCGAAGAGCTGTCACCTGAAGATAGACTGGCCAGACTAAACCTATTCATCATGTTTTTATTTGGTTAAAGACATATATGCATCTGAGATGTGCTCAATTTTTGTCTTTTAAGCCGGAGAATTTATGAGGACACTCCCAGAATGTTCATGAGTACACGACATCTAACTTGTCAGCTGGCTATCGACTTTGCTACGGAATCGTCAACTGACAGAACTCGTTGTGATTGAAGCTCCATCTGTCTGCCAATTTAAAAGAATACTGGATTGTTAAGAGACCAAAACTGCCATGTTGAACACGAACATCCTAGTTTCCTGCCCTTTCCGAACAAAAACAATGTTTTATATCTATCCACTAAAATTTCTAGTTCTCTCGATAGAACTAATTGAAGTTTTTGGTGACCTAGTGCTACTAGATATCGAAGTCTGTAGAGGGCAAACTTCTATTCCGTCCACAACCAGTTGTGCTTCGGTACCGTCGTAAAGGCGGGTCGTCTGAAAATTATAGGTCAATTTCTTTGGTTATCTCACTCTCCGTTTTTCATTGTAATAAGCATGTCTTATATGCTTTCTCACCTAACTAATGGGTGGCAAGTAGATCAGGCAATATTGTCTGAAGAAGATAGAGTTGTTGTTATACGCTTCGGTCACGATTGGGATCCGTCCTGTATGGTCATGGATGAAACTCTTTTTAAAATCGCTGAGAGAGTAAAGAACTTTGCGATCACTTATTTGGTTGACATAACTGAAGTTCCAGACTTCAATAAAATGTACGAATTGTACGATCCCTGCACTGTTATGTTTTTTTATCGTAACAAACACATTATGATTGACTTGGGAACAGGTAACAACAATAAAATCAACTGGCCCATAGCTGACGGGCAGGAGTTCATAGATATTGTTGAAACAGTATATAGAGGTGCAAGAAAAGGTCGGGGTTTGGTTGTTTCACCAAAAGACTATTCTACTAAATATCGTTATTGAGTTATGTAATGTTTCTTAATCTTTCTATGTATGTATATTTCGTTGCTTATCCTTCATTTCTGTTAATAAAATATATATCATCAGAACTAACGTTTGTTTGTTACTCCGAATATTCGCAGTGTCGGTAAATGAAAGTTTAGTGTTAATTCAGCCTAATTTTCATTCTTATAATGGTATCTAAACTGACACTAAAAGACTGATATCTTACAAATTTCGGATTTACTTATATAGAATATTGGGTTATATTTCTGTCACATAGACTACAGCGAACTTGGCGCTCTAGTTATATTTTACTTCTTAATCTGTCTGCACTTCGCGCTAAATGTTATCCTCTTTCAAGCATCACGTAGTCTGCCGAGCCTGATAATGATGAAATACGTGTGCGAGAACTACCTTTCGTTTTCGCACATGCACAAACATGAGCAGGACTACCGTCTATGTGTTTGTTTTCTTCGCTTTGTTTGAAAACTAGGCGACATCTTTCAAAAGCAACCACTGTCGTCAAAACAACCGAGCATGTCTGAAGTTCGCCTGTAAGCAGCTTATTGTCTAGTCAGTCGATGTAAAAGTCCGTAACCTAATTAAACTTCATGTTAATAAAGCGAATTCTTTTTCCAAGGTTCTGCAATTTGTCACTGTGATCGTCGTTAACATTTAAAAATATGTCGGGATGTTGAACTGAATCTTGCAATTACATACGGATCCGTAGATTATCCAATATATTTCATCCTATCTGTGAGATAGTAAGTAGTACACCCTTATTTATTGTCCTGTCACTCACAAAATTTCAATTAATTTCGTGGATAAGATTGTATACATCGTTTTTGTTCATATGTTTTAACCCTTAAATACCAATACTGATTGATGGTGAGTCACAAAGGCTAGCAATTTTTGAAAATATTGCTTGAGATTGCAGATGAATTGAAACCAGAGAGATGTTCATTGGTTATAAATCTCCCTAGAATTCCCCAGTTGAATATATGGATATTATTTTAATGTCCATTTACACTAATGCACCGAAAAGTTTAGGGCTTTCGAGGTTTGCTTCTTTGTATGTTTTCTCTACCAATAACTTCATTTAAAGCGTATGTAGTGGCGTAAAAACTTTGTTCAATGTATCTATCGACAAATTTTCCCGAAGTCGCGCTGGTTAGAAGAGCTTACTCTTTTCTCCAAATCATTGCTCGTTCATTAGAAGAATGCGTCGAGATTAAGCTTACTCTCTGAAGTACCTAACCACTTATCACTATGAAATAAAAGTATATACTTTCAAATATGTGAAAGCATTATCAAAATATATTTAGGGTTTTTTTTACCAAATTATCTCCAACCATAATAACAGTTGCGTTAAGGCCCTTTTGCATTGTCTTCATGTGCAGTGAACTAACTATTTCAAAGCAAATGTATGATGTTAATTTTTAATGAATGTCAACGTGCATTGAAACTGTTAGAACTTTGTTAATAGTTACTGCAGGGCTGAATACCCATTATGTGGTTTTGTTTCTCTCATAATTGTGTCTAAAAATTTTACTTATTCATTAGTGGTTATTATACGAGGACAATACTAAGTTGTCCTTATTTCCGTAACAACATTAGTCTTTCAAACTACTCTGACCTTATTAATAGCAAGTTTCTAAGATATAAATTTAGTTTATGACTGGTTTTACTTATCGTTGTAAGTAGTTTAATGTGTACTTTTGTACTTTGATTTCTAGCAATTAGTAAAGAGGTATGTTAATTGTTCATTGGTTTGTTTATTTCGTTTTTATTATATATTCATAAGTTAATCGTTAGTGATCATCCACTATCCTGATGTATTTTTCTCTTCAAACTTTTAAAGTTAAAACGGGATATTGAAAATGCCTGATTTATCTGATGCCGATCGAGAACGTATCAGTAAACTATTCAGCGATTTAGACGTAAATCAAGATGGTCGTATCAGTGTCACTGAACTTAGTCGTGTCATAAAAGGGAGCAAAAATGAGACAGATAGTAAAAGCAAAACAGCTAGGAAAATTATGACTAAAGGAGACACGGACAATGATGAAACACTCACATTTCAAGAATTTCTTTCCTATATACATGACACTGAAACTCATTTGAAACTCGCATTTAAAGAAATCGATCAGAACAATGATGATCGAATAGACGCTAGTGAAATTCAGTCAGCCATGAAAAGACTTGGTGCCAACGTGAGCGAAGCTGATGCACAAAAGTTGCTTAAGCGTATAGATAAAGACGGTTCCTTAGATATTGATTATAAGGAATGGAGAGAATTTTTACTATTTAGCGGGACTTCAAAGATTGATGAAATATTTAGATATTGGCGACATTCATCCGCTATTGACATAGGTGAAAACATGTGTATTCCGGATGATTTCACGGAAGAAGAGAAAAAGTCTGGAGATGCTTGGAAAACATTAGTCTCAGGAGGTTAGTAATGTAATTTAATCGCTAGCGTTTATGTAGCTTTTAAAATTTTATTTGGTAATTTAAAACATTTTTCTTCCTATAAGAAGAATAATACATACGAAATCAGTGACCGCTATCATTCGAAACTCTTTATGTAATATGTGGTTGTCGGTAATTGAGTTTTTGGTGGATAGCATAACTTTTTGACTAGTTAAGAGATATATACATAGCTATTATTTAAGACAAAACAGCTCAAGTAACCTATTGAATCAAGTGTATACAGTATAACTTATTAGTACTACGAGTTCGTCGCAATAGTTACGAGTTGGCTGTTCAGTGTCTTCACATTTCCTATGTAACAGACTTCTCTGCTGTAAAGGTGTACTTCCGAAGTGGATTAAATTACCTTCATCAACTCAAATTAGCTAGCTGACCGCAAATTGAGTACCGTTTGGAGTGAAAACAAATTGTTTATTTATTATTGATAATAAGTTTTATTATTATTCTAAAAATCATTTTTACAAAACGACATCCAGATATTTATGCTCCACACAAATTATTGAATTTGTAAGTGTGCTGAGATATTTCCGCTGTGATATTTGTTGCTTAATTTAAAGCTGAGTATATTGATGATTAGTTTAAAATATAGTTGCTTTAGTAGAAGTACTGTTGTGCAATTGAACTAATATTTAAGGCATCGGTTTTATTTAATTGTATTTCTATCGCCATTACTAAAATTCTACAAAGATCTGTTTTTCATTGAGTGTTGAGGTAATAGAGAATATTTTTAGCTGAGGATTAAGGGTTTGGAAGTATTGTGTTCCTTAAGCTCGATAGTTTATTCGTTAAACCTCTGTAATCCTTTGAGATATTTGCGGCATACATCAACCATTGATATAGGTGTTTAGAGAGACAATAAAACATTGACCAATAAAATGCCAAACTCAGAGACCACAACACTAATGGTCGGAAGTAGTTCAAGTTTAATTTTTTATACGTTTATTGTGTATATGTAAACCGTTTCTCATACACCATATTAATTCTCAGTTTTTACTCTGTCAGTCGTATAAATTACGTGCACAGTACATTAATAGTGGTACTAATTTCCTCGTGTTGTGGCCTTTTATTGACTATTTGTGTCTCGGTTATATTTCTAAAAGTCTCCACCTACCCTGGCACGGTCGGGAGTAAGCAGAGTCTGCTCGCCCTCTCGAGATTTCCTCAAAATGCTATACGTATATAGCCACTGTCAAGTAAGTTCTACTCACTAAATTCTCACCGTAAGCGTGTCTTCCAAGAAATTTGGATTACGAGAAGCGAATATCTGGCACTCAAACCGGTTTAGTGATTATAGGAAATTCATCCTGATTCCATTCCAGTGGTGCACGTGGTCTGCAAGATCTTGATGAAATATGACATGAACTTATTGTTGATGACCTGCTACCATGTAACAGTATATCCTTACGTTGCTCCACTGCCTCATGGATTCCACTTTTGGGTTAAAGGCTTTTGGTGTAGCCTCCTAAGAAAATCACCTTCGGTTTGGGCATTCGGGTAGTATCTCAGTCCACTTACAAGTTCACTAGTTTGTGTGGTAGATAAATAGCTTTTCTTTTCAGTATGTGCCAAACAAAAGTTAGTGAAAAGATAACTAAGTTTGCTTGGTTTCATTTACTAGATTTTTGTTTATTGTTTGATTATGGCTGTATTCCATCCAACTGGTCACTGAGTATTTCTTGTCTGGCCTTCCAATAATTGCTCGCTTGTTGAATTTTAACATTCTAGGTATTGCTGGTTGCATCTCCAGAACTGTAACAGCACCTTTGGATCGCATTAAATTGACATGGCAAGCACTCGGAAGTAAGGCTTCTGAAGTAGGTTTATTGGGGACAGTCAATAAAATGGTTAAAGAAGGTGGAGTAACAGCATTATGGCGTGGCAATGGCGTTAACTGTTTGAAAATTGCTCCAGAATCAGCAATTAAATTTCAGGCTTATGAAGTTTACAAGTGTTGGCTTAATGAATCTTTGGGTAGTAATCCAGATGGAAGTCTTCAATTACATACTAAATTCTTAGCCGGTTCATTGGCTGGTGCAACTTCCCAAAGTATTATATATCCTATGGAGGTATGTATTTTTGCCTCCATTTATAAATGATGACTATATACACTTAGTGTTGCTCTTTTTAGGTTGTTATGTTATTGAACTATTCTATGAAATTTGATACTTTTCTTTAGTAGGGTGTTTTCAGATAGAATGTGAATGCTTATCTGTTGACATTTACTGGGCGCACTACACACGTGATCAATATATGTTGCTAAAGAAATCTGTCCAAGAATGTTCCGTAAATTTATGTAAAAGATGACATTACATTTCAAGACTTACTTACGTCAGTTAAATTGTTGTAAGCTAACGTAGAAGTTGGTTAATTTTCACTGACGTTTCCTTATATTTAGACTTTTGTCTCATTGGATCTCTGCTAATAGCTAACTTCTGTTACTGGTTTTTAATCTTGAAAACTATACAAAGCTAAATAGTCCAATCGATGTTCAAACTACGTATGTTTTTATCAAAAGTATGTTTTTCACATAACCTTCGTACTTGTTGGAGAAGCACACCAAGTATAGTGATAATATGCATGTGCACTACTTTATTAACCATATCTACTCAATACTTATAAATTGAAGCCAACAACCTAGTGGTATATACACAGTAATCAAAGTCAGTTTACTGATCTTTCCAATTGGTATTAATTACAAGCGCTAGGCGAGTAAAAATTGTTTATTGACAATATTCAATAATATTGCTAATAACTGTTTTATAGTGGTATTAGGGTATTCTATTCACAGTTCACATTTTCGTCTTTCATTACATTACTTAACGTTCAATCACTTTTCATGGTCCGCATAGAATATTTCTCACCAAGAGCTACACTGTTAGATTAGAAGTGGTTTACCCTATAACAAAACCAGCAATGTAGCATACTGTGATATTACGTGAATAGGCAACGTTTGAGTTATGGTAATAATGTATGCACCTCAGTGAATTGGTATTTTTATTTTACACTTATCGAGTTGTACTTGTTTGTCACCTTAATATTGGTAACTGCATCGATTAAGCTGATATTTCTGTTCAGGAATCACTTTACTGTTAAATAAGAATGTACGTGATACAATCAGGTCAAAAACTACTTAACATAAAGAACCTGTTTGGTAGTTTTGATAAAGCTTTCTTTGGTAATATTATGCTACTCTTACCTACATTTTATATCTTAACCCTGATGATGCTAAAGTCTTGATATCTTTCACTCTATAACTTGATTTCTGTACTATGCCTTAACAATATTCACTTTCGCTCTTGATACATCAAAATACTAGAAAAAATATAGCTGACAGGTTTTACCCTTACTAGAATTATTGCTGTTTGTTTATCTTTTAGGTATTGAAAACAAAAATGTGCTTACGCAAAAGTGGACAGTACTCGTCAATATTTGACTGTGCTCGAAAGTTATATCACAGTAATGGTATTAGTATATTCTATCGTGGCTATGTGCCTAATATGCTGGGTATTCTACCGTATGCTGGAATAGAGTTAGCTATGTTTGAAACATTTAAACAGTCATATTCTAAAGCATTTTTATCAGAAGATAAAAAGTCTAAAAATGCATCTCCACCAGTTTATGTTTCCGTTGTAGCCGGTGCTCTTTCATCATTATGTGGTCAGTTAGGCACTTATCCTTTGGCATTGGTTCGAACAAAACTTCAGGCACAGACATCTTCCGAAAAGGTTTGTTCAAAATTTATGTTACTATTATTTTAGTTTCTTATCACTGTTTATAGACATGATTTCTATCATTTGAAACTGTACCTTATGATGTATCGTAGATGATTTCTTTGGGATTTTTACAATAATCTAAGTAGATCCTGCTTACTTTAAGTTCAGCTTGGTATGATGCTTCCTTTTCTAACTGTCTAAATGGATAGTTTTACCAGCGGTATGATTACAAAGTAGACATTTCTTACAAGTCTTACACAAGTTGTTTATTTTAGATGAGATCTCTGTTCAAATTTACAGGCTTTATTTCTCTTTACTGATTTGCTTTTCTTGTAAACATCTAATCTCTGGCTTTCGTTAGACTAATTATGTTTAATACTTATTATTAATAATCAATTAATTTTGCTTAATCACACTTCTCGTATTTTTGCGTCTAAGTGAAAAATATTTTTAAGTACAGTCTAGTAGTTCCTCTTTTGGATAAAGGGGCCTAAATGGTAAATTTTCTGTTATGTAAGCCTTAGCGTCGAATGTTAACTAACTAATAAAAAAATACCTATTATTCATATTATGCAACATAATTTACACATTACGCCATGGGTTTCTGAAAGCCACCCTTTAGATCTATTTATTGTCTTTTGATTATTAAAACACCAAATAGCAAAGTAGTTTGCATGCAACACTCCCAACTTTTAGCTGCAAGTGCTCAGTAACACAGCACTGTCTATGCACCAATGGAATCAATCATTTTCTGCCATTCTGTACCTTCATTTTTCATAAGGCACTATTAGAAAACGCAGTGATATCAATATGAATTCATTTTGTTGCGATTATACCTTGCTATGATTTTTATGTACTTTTGGTTATTGTAATTATATAGTTAGTTGGATTTCCGTCTCCAGCAGTAAGGGCTGCCTACTTAGGGCTTTAAAAGAGCGGAGCTAATACTCAAAACACCTTTAATAAAAAGGCCGTGCGTGACCGACCTCAAGCAGTTGTCCCTGTGGCTTTGCCGTCACGCTCCCAGGTCGTTAAGACCGGCACTAATCTACCTTCTTTTTCAGGTTCCTCAAGAAGCACCCTTCCACGGTTTGGGTAGCCGGGAAGTGACATCTGCCCTCATACCCGTAACATCACGCGAGACCTAATCGGCCACAGACAAATCCTTTTTACATTCCCTACTATCTCTCTTATCTCCATGACTAACTCTACTCACGTTCCTTTATCACCCTGCACCGCTAATGCGAACGATTCGAGTTCCCGAAACTTTGTTCTGGTCTCCTGAAACCCCGTTCTGAACTATATATTAGAGCTTTCAATGTCCGAACATTGTGTCAAATGAGACAATCTTCCTTAGCTAGGACTTTAGAATCTTGCGCCATCTATGTATGCTGCCTCGCGCATACATGATCCGAGTACAGTGATTAATTTGACTTCACCTTGTTCAAATGAGGAATCAATTCGGTTTACGTTCCGTGTATCTGGAAGCCCTGATGCTGCTTCCTGTGTCCTCGCTGGTGTAGGCATAGGATTGAGTTCTAGAGCAGAATTAGCGCTCTCAGACTAGATCCCAGTAGACAGCTGTTTGTGTGCTGTCTGACTAAACGGGGCAGTAAGAACTCGCAAAATTAGCGACGCTCACCGTCTGCCTCTTCTTTTTCTCTACTTACGGCCCCACTGACTGCAGCTCTGACGAGGTAAAAGACGAGTTTTACGGGATAATTTCGGACCTCCTTCAAAAATTAGGCACTCTTATGTGGTAATAGTGGCTGGTGAATTCTATGCTCAAGTGGGTGGGTTAAGCGCCCTGAAAGACAACTGGGTGGATCTTATGATATAGCGACCCAAACAACAGATAATGGCGATCTTCTGCTGAGGCTATCCTCAGATGACGGCCTATTACTAGCAAACACTAACTTTATGAATAAGTAAAAAAGTCTCTTGACCTGGCGACCTCCTAAGCCGACCCAACTATATCACATCAGCCACCTTTGAAGGGGTTCGATAGAGGATTGTCGCTCATTCTGGAGCACTTGTCTAGATTCAGATCATGCTCTAGTGCGATGACGTATTTGTTTACGATTTACTGGACGTAGGAAAGACACTGCAAGGAAACCTCTTGGGGTTCTACTTAATGATAGCATAGCTAATGGTATATTTCAAGAGCAACTAAAAAATATTTAGACGCCATGTAGTAAGTGATGCCCTGCCTGAGGCAGCTTGGGATGACATCAAAAAGGCTATGGAAACAGCAGTGGCATCTGCCAGTAAGGTAAATCATAAGGCTAAGAAGAAGCCGTGGATCACAGTAGCATCTATCGCACTGATAGACGCTCGTAAACTCGTCCCACCTGGCTCTAAACATAACGAAGAGCAAAGTCACCCTAGCCGCAGGTGGTTAAAAAGGCTACGCAATGGTCACGAACAGTGGTGGGTATCGAAAGCAATAGAGATGGAAAAGGCAGCGGCGATAGGTAACAGTAGACAACTGTTCCACCTTATAAAAGAAACTAGTACCAGGAACCCGAATGTAAGTGAGACTATCTCCAAAAAGGATGGTCGTATCATTCATTCTCAATCCAGGAGATTGTTTCGATGGGCAGAATACTTCAGGGATCAATTCAAATGGCCTCCAACCGCATTTCAGTGACCCAGGCCCTCCAGTCATCCTGAATGGCAAATCGATTTAAGCCCTCCAAGTCTTTATGAAGTAAAAAGCTGTAGGAAATTTGAAGCGGGGGAGAGCATCAGGGCTTGACAAGCTTACCCCAGAGATTTTTAAGGATGATGGTCCAGCTTTAGCAGTTAGACTGACTGAGATCTTAGGTAGAATCCAGGAACTGGGCGTAATCTCATCTGTCTGGTCTCAATTACTGATAGTCCTAGTTTTCAAAAGAGGACAAAAGTCCTCTTTTGGCAATCACAGAGGAATCATCTTAATTTATGTACTGTCTAAAATGTTAGCATCGATAATACTTTGACGCCTCACTAGAGCTCGTGAAGAGCGAATCCGAGTAAATAAGGCCAGTTTCAGATCTGGACGTGGCTGTATAGACCAAATATTCACACTTCGGCAGGTCCTAGAACATAGTCATACGTTTAGACGTCCCAAAATAGTTGTATATCTTGACGTAAAGGCGGCTTTTGATTCGGTCGATCAGGAGGTATTATGGTAGTGTCTGCCACTGAAAGGTGTACCAAAGAATTACATTAATCTTATACAAGCTCTCTACTCGAACACCTCTGGTCAAGTGAGAGCTTATGGCTAACTGTCATCGGAGTTAGTTACCTAAAGTGGTGTCCTTCAGAGCTGTCCACTCTCTCCATCCTTGTTTTACTTTTACATAAACACGCTTTGAGAGTTAACATTATCATCGTCTGACTTTTCAGGAGTGGAACTTCTACCAGGAGACATGCTCGCTGACTTAAAATATGCTGATTACATAGTACTATTCGGTGAAGACGCTGATAAAATGCAGTCTTCTGACTAATGCAAGCAAGTTCGGGATGCGGTTTTCTCTCTCGAAATGTAAAATGTTGCTTCAAGATTGGGTTGCATCGGCACCTGAACTAGTGATAGGGAGTGAATTCCTCATCATCTCTATCTTTCTCTTTCTAAAGTTATCTCACTGAACTATACTTCTTGAATAATATCTTCGATCCCTAATATTCTCCATTACCAGTAATTCTTCTACTATCTCCACCACTATGGGATTTGAACTGACAGTTGTATCTCTGTGCTAATGCGGTATGGCAAGCTGAACTGATGTACGTACGTACGAAGTTCTACGTTGTAATTGACTGACAATTAGTCTTCACAATACTTCGTTTCTTACTTATTATGCAATGCTTATTTATTTTTTATCTAGACTGGATTACTAAAGATTGTCAAGAATATTGTGGAACATGAAGGTGTACCGGGTCTATTTCGAGGATTAGGTCCAAATATTCTCAAAGTCTTACCGGCTGTTAGTGTTTCGTATGCTTGTTACGATCAAATTAAAGCGTTTCTACATGTTTCAAAATAGATCTCTGCTCTATTTTATTTTTTAATGTATGTTAGATCATGAATATTTTTTTTCAAATAATGACGCTTATATTCTTTCGATAAGTCACATTTGGATTTTCAAAAATCTAATTTGTCATATTAATTATTTGATTGTTGCTTACGAAACTCTTATTTCTTTCTTTAAATAATCCATCATCTTTTATGAAGAGATAATCAATGCCAACTAGATTTGATAGAGCATGTTTTATACTTAAAAGATATATATAGCTTATTTTCTTTTTATATGATATTGAACTTTGAAATAACCTTTGTATTCTACTTTATTGCATATTTTATTCATAATTCTCATTTTTTTTAAATACATATTTTTCATTTTATCAATAACAAGAAATAGATATATATATCTCATATTCATAATTATGAAAATTTTCTGGTATTAATTATATTTTCAGTATTTTCTTTTATTATATGAGTGTATCATTTCTTTTTTTTGTTTTACGCCAACATTCATTCATTCATTATTTCTATGATTGATTTACAACATATCGCTTATCTCTTTCATTTATCATTTCGTTTGAAATGTATCTTTTTTTCTCGTTGTTGTTACTTCAATACACTTTTTATCATCTTTCGCAATTTTATATATATCATTCTATATTATTAATACATTAGTGAACTGGCTTTTTTTTTAATTTTTGGAAAGGAATAAAACTGTTTAAATCAATGTAAATTCTTGCTTTGATTTAATTATCTGAACAGTTTACCTAATAAGTCATCATTCAGCGGTGTTTCTAAACAATTGGATCGGCAGTTCAGTGTACTTGATTGGTTGATATCACTAGCTGCCATCATATAGTCTATAGTTTAAGATAAGTACATAAGTATATATTTAGTGAATTACTTACTGTATCACGTGCGAATTTCTTTCACATCGATAAAATGAAGGAGTAATACTAATAATCCTCATTAATAAACAATGTATCTACTGCATAAGTGGAAAAAAACAAATGAAGATGTGCTACTCATTTGTATATGTATATATGTCAGTAGTATAATTATAGGTACGAAATTATAGTTATGGATGGAATATTCAATATTCTCTAATAACTAATATCATTACATCGTGAACTTGATTTCTGCTTGTTTTTGAATTGATCCATTTATAAAATATCCCATTGTTTACTCGAACAAACTAATTCCTATTTAATAGTTTTGAACAAATCAAGAACGAAATACACAAGCATTAAATTAAATTAAAAGAGAAATAAATAGCAAAGTGACTAAGCAGGTGGGCGTGAATCAGATATAAAGATGCTTAAGTCAACCTACGTAGGTAATCTTTGAAGATCATTTCCTTGGTGGTCTGTCTAATGCATAATTTTAAGCACCTTTCCCAGAGATCTTCGCACTAAATCTTTCATCTTGACACCTGTTTTTATTTCATTATTCGTACTAGCTAACTCCACCTGTAGCTCTTCTAGGGCTTCGCTGGTCCCAATTCCACATAAAGGAGGAACGTTTGAGCACATGGTTGGCAACGCCATTCCGTAGAAAATAAAACTAGCTTAAAAATGCGTTGATCGCAACAAATATTTTAAAAGCTGTTTTGGGAGTTTAGAAGAGTATCTAAAGGAGTTATGACGCCTCATGTGGAAAGCCGAGATTCTTCGGAAGTCATGAGTTCGATATCCTCCTTACAACCAGAACAACCAACAATAGAGGTATATGTAATTTCCGCGAAACGTAGGACACTTAAAAAACTATTCAAGTTGTGGAAATGAGAAAGTACAACCTGGTGATAACTGAAATAGAGGAAACCTATTACACATAGGCTGGGAAGGAAAGACTAACTTCAGAAGAGATTCTGTTGTACCCTGAATTTGAAGAGGAAAATTACTCAAACGCGAAAGCCGTTGCACTGATGCTGTTCAACGAAGCACAAAAAGTACTTATACAATAGCAATCTTATTTATTCCAGATCATCAAAGCATCCTTCAAGACAAAGCAATAGCGGATCACAATAAATTTCACCCAGTGTTACGCGCCCATCAACGAAGACGATAAAGATCATTTCTATGAGAGGCTGCGAACAATCATCCAGAAATTCACAGCAAAACGCCAAGGTTCGAACGGACGACACCGCATGTGAAGACATCAGGGGACGACATGGACTGGAAGAAAGGAATGAACACGGAGAGATCTTCATAAAACTATGTGCCTTGAAGTAAATGGTTCTAGTTGGTACGGCAGTCCATTAAATGTTTCCCTACTACAAAACGATACAAATTTATAAGAATTCGAACTCCTTATATACGGTAAACAGAAAAATAGTCATAATATTTATGAACTTGCAAGAAACATTAGTGGTTGAATCAGCATATTTCAATTGCTTTCACAAACTAATATATTTTATTCATTCAGTGGGAACATTACTAAGATAAACATCGAATAATGTGATCTGCGGATAATACTAAAAATTTTGCATCGCTAATTGATTTCGGATAGACAGTCAGTCAAAACAAGGAGCATTCGCGAGCCATTTCGACAACATATGGGACTCCTCAATAGTTCACATCCAAGAGTACTAGGAAGCGTATTTAGAACTTTCAAACTTTTGGTTGAACGTCAAACTTTCAGACAAGTGAGCTGGTATCCTATGGTCTACATTTATAATTAGGATAAAAAAAGACCAGCTATAAAGTAATATAATTTCTTGTTATAAAAATTTATTAGTCAATCATTGAATAACATTGATAAAACTAATAATAATTTCATCTGGTTTGTTACAAATAAAGTTTAAAATTTGAAAATATATTTCTTTAACTACAGTTTATTTTTTCTATTGACTGATAGATAAAAATTTTGACAATGTATCAACACTTTCAATTAATGTACAATCTGATTTTACAAATCTAATTAAAAAATGCATAATTCTAAATGCCATTTGCATTAAATCATCAAATCTTGTATGATGATAACATTGAAATTGTTCATTGAATTTATTTGTATTTGTTATAATGTTAAAAGGTTTCGATTGTTTTTGACATAACCAATTTAAAACACGTTCTATTAGTAAATATTCCAATTGTTCAGATAACGGATGAAGATGAGTGATTAATTTTGCGAATAAGCTCATTAAACATACAACTGGCTAAAATATAAATTTAAAATAAATAAGTTTGTCTTGAATAAAAATAATTTAATATTTAATTCATTACTTACCTTATATTTGATATTTAACAAATAAACAGAACACTTTAAATGATCAAACAAATAACAATAAAACAACTCATTGTGATTTTTTTTTTGTTGATATTTGATTTACAAACTATTAATCGTTTAAGTATAATAATTTGTAGGCCATCAATTTTATGTGTATACACACTCAGACATACTTTTATTAACCAACGAATTCACCTTACCTCATTTTGAATAGATTAAGTTGATCTGTAAAAAATATTAAGATATTCTTAAAGTAAAACTTAAAAAGAACCATATTAATCATATAGAGTACCTGAAATTTGGCTAGCAATCGAATCCAAGACGTAGAAGTGAATGGTCATCAGTCGCTAAGTGGATAATGCGATGGTGTTTGATGCAAACGTTACAAGATTTCAGCCTCAAAGTGAACATCAACTCTGAGATCCAGGTACATTCAGTCTCAAACAGAACTGGATATCACTGCTAGGCATCTTCGCCTTATAAAACAATTTTTATTTGAATGGAAATTATTCAATGTTATCTAAATGAAGAATACAGTCTAAATCATGATTGTTATATGCCTTAATAAATAAATTTTGAATAAAATTCTAAGAATAATTTTATTGGCTTTAAATTGTTCAATATAAAAATGATGATAGAAAGTTAATAAATTATTCAGTCACTCAATCGATGGGTAACATGGAAATGAGACCAAATAAGACTAAAGAATAAATCTCATTTCTAATCGTACTTAGTCTAAAATAACGCAAGTCATCGTATATAAATAATTTATAGATTGACTACCTTAACATTTATAGAAGACATAAAAACATCACATTCTGATAGGATAGCTCATGGTTTACAGCAAACAGAGTATAATGTTAATACCAATATGTTCATACCTACTGAAAAATCATAAGATTATATTTACCAATAAGATGTTTATTTGATTTCACTTGATATATATATATATATATATATATATATATATATATATATATATATACCACTTAATGTCAAGTTGATTAACATGTTGAAAAATTACCAACTTCAAATTCACATAAAGGACCTTTTAAACTGTTAAAAGAAACATTAATCAAACTTCGGTGTAATTTAAATTTTTTTTTGCACAATTGAATAACTCACTATGGATAAAATCATATATAATTTGTTGATGGCAAAACGAAGATTTAACTATAGTATTCAGAGAATATAACAATGGATTACTCAAAACTGAAGTATAAATCTTGACAATTTTTTCTCACAGAATTATATCATAATTTTTAGATTTTTTTAGAACACATAGATTTCTCATATGACAAAGTTATGAATAATAAATGTATATACTTTTTTTGTAAATTTTTTTACCAATATTTTAAAACTATTGTATTTGGTCAAATAAGAATCTGTAACTGTTGAAACACAAATTCCTATACAAATTATCCATAGAAATCACATTACAGTGTAACTTACTTTTTCGAAAATTTCTAAAGAAGTTAAAATATCTTCTTGAAATAAAGGATTTTGTTGTAAACTGTGCAAATCTTGCATTCGAAGCACTGGTGACTGTAAACGAAAAATGTGTAGATATAAGAGTTTTTACAGTTGCTGACAAAACTTATCTATGCAGAACATTACTAACAATATAAATTCAAGGTTCTTTATTGAACAAAACAAAAATCATTTTAAAGGCAACAACAAATAAATTTTTTGAGTTAATCTAGTGGAAAAATCATTATGCATTATAGATAACTGAAAATGTTTCAATAACAAATCTAAGTTGTATCATTGTGTTAACAATGATGTTGTAAACGCTGATAGAAATGGAAATGTTTGAATAATCTCAGTGAGCATAAATTAACTGTGGTGCTGCGTCTTAGTTGGTAAAGTATTTGGATTTTAAAGTATCAGGCTAATAATTATAAAATAGTTTTATCGAAATCGGTTGTGACACCTGAGAACTGCCATGCAGTCATTTTAAAAATAGTGTAGTTTAAAATTCAATACTTATATGGGTACTTGGTAGGATAGATTAGAATAGTTAGTACACACCAACCGCTCTATTGACTAGAATAGGAGAATTCTGGATTAAAAGTGATTATGAAGCTAATCTATATCTCACTTATAAAAAAACTCCCAGATAAAAGCATGTGTCGGATGTGTTTGTAACAAATTTAGTGATTTTTTTTTCAGTTAAATCAGTATAAAATTTAACATCTCATTACTATCAACTACTACTTACAAAGTTTTGTATTTCGCTAGTGGATTGAGAAACAAATTTTAATTCGGTTGTTAAGTGGTGAGTAATTTGTGGTTGTGGAGCCCTCATTGTTCTTCTAAACAACTTTAGCACAAACTTCAGATAGAAGCGAAAAATTCGAATTTCTGAACGTTTGACAAATAGCTTGTTCTGTTAACCTCGACCTTGATTGATTGTTATTGACCCCAAACCTATCGGTGTTTGCACCTTTATTTTGATTGTATCCCCCTTTGGTCTGTTTCTTGGTCCTATGTTTGCTTATGATTTATTTGATTGGTTGGGTCAGTGTAGATGTTTTTGTTGATTGCTGATTGACCTGAGATTGACACTCAGGTCAGTAACAACTACTCACGATAGAGGGTAACAGAACAAGATATGGGTCAAACGTGCAGAAATTCAAATTTTTCACTTCTCTCTGAGGTTTGTGCTGATGATCCTGAGTTACAAATTTTCTCCACCATCTCAAGATTAGTAATTGATATTAGATTCTTACTAACTAATCTGTTCGGTTGGTCACATTTGACATATGGTACTGTGATGGTTGATTGTTGGTAAATAACTACAGTCCTTTCCCCCAAAACACAACAAAAAGTACTTTGGAAAGATTTTACTTGATTTATAGAATCCACTTATCACTAAGAACTGAACACTACATCAGTTACTACTAAATGATCTATCAGTACAAATATTTTAATGCTCAGAGATATCGGTTGTGGCCTAAAGCAACCAGCGGTGACGTTTTTGATTGTAACACTGAGTGAAATGGGTTAAAATCCCACGAAGAATTTCGACCCTAGTGCGAAACAGCATGAATCTTCCGTCTATGGTGTTGTTTCTGATCTCCTTATAGTTAGC